CACTTGAGTAACTGCGTGTGTTTTGTTTCTTTCTTTAAATTATCCATTCATTATGCTTTCACTAGGGAATATGTATGGGGTCCTAGAGGATTAATCAAGACCATTTTTGCTCCTGCAGCTGACTTGTGAAGAACTAGTGAGAGATATGCTAATTCTTCAGAGAACACCACAAAGGGGAGGGAAATCATAAATTCTTCCTACCAGAGAAAACAAGAGAATCATTGGAAGAAGAAAAAATAGGCTTAGATTCTTTATTCAAGGTGAGTGGACAAGAATGATCTTTGACTGGCCATTTGCCAGTCTTGTCTCTTGAAAGTGGACATTATCGTGTCCACTCAGATGACCCCTTACAAATTCATTGCAAGCCTTTATTGTATTAACTGAAATTCTATGGAGCTTAATGTTTTGTATACGATATTAAAATTAAATTAAAATTGGGCCTATAAATTAAGAGTGTGTCCCAATTCCCTTTGATTTGTAGTAACTGATAGTGGCATTAGATTTTTGCATGGAAAGAGGGTGATAAATCTGAAAATTGAACTATCACTTAAGGTTTATATATTTTGCTAATGTTAGTCTTCCTTTCTATGTAATTAGTAACTAAGTAAGTGAGGACCAAGGTGTGTCTGATTTGGGCCAGAGTCTTTTTGATCACTTGCTGTGCATCTGAGCGCTTGACAATGAATAAAGATGACAGGAGAAGAATTGATCCCTTTGAGCTGTAGTGTTGAAGAAGAGTAGTGAATATCCCACTGACTGCCAAAAGAACAAACAAATATGTCTTGAAGAAAGTGCAGCCAGAGTGCTTCTTGAAGGGAAAAATGGTAAAGCTTTGTCTCACACACTTTGGACATGTTGCTAGGAGGGGCTAGTCCTTGGAGAGGGACATGATGCTCTGAAAGGCAGATGACCAGCAAAGGAGAAGAAAACCTTGAGCCAGGTGCATTGACACAGTGACTGCCGCAGTGGGCTCTAGTGGGTCAGAAAGTGAGAGAATGGTGCAGGTTAGGACAGGGTTCAGATCTGTTGTCCATAGGGTTGCTATGGGTTTTCCTCAACTCAACGGCACCTGACAACAGTCTTATTTTAAACACATTATCAGCAATGGTTGTTGTTTTTTTCTAAAATAGAGATTGTATTTGGTAAAGTAGGAGGTTAAAAGGTAAATAAATGCTAAAGAAAATGGACCCTTCAATTGGATTAAAATTGACAAAATAGGAACAAAAGTGGACTTAACTAATCAACGACCATCAAGGTGGAACTGAATTGGTGGTTATAATTTTATTTTATGTACATCAGATCACCATAAATAACAACTCAGAACTAATATATAGCCACACAAATTAAAATTAGAATGTTAAATGTAATATAGCATATCCAGATACATTTGTATTTAATAAATTTTTTCCAGTATAGGTGTATCTAATACTGTATTTTGTAAATACTCTTTTTACCATAATTTTTATGATATTTGTTAAAAATTAATATTATTAATATAATTATAGACCCTAGGATAATTATTAATTTTAGTAACAAAATTTTTTCCTGAACATATGCCACTTTTTGTGGTTGCCCTTGATTATGATGTTTACTGTTTATTTTCACTACTAGTTACTTACTGTTGGTTATTAAAAATAACAATTGGCAACTGATGGAACAGATGGACAAGTAATGTGGTAGTGACAGTTATACTATTGTGAAGTTTTCCTGGTTCTAAAATCATTCTCATCTGCTATTATCTTATTTAATGACTGAAAAATAATTCTGTATTTCCAAATTTCTTTATTCCGTTTGCTTTAATTACCTCCTCCTACTCATCCACTTCCTAAACAACACGCCTCTGCAAACTCTATGAACTTTGATAAATGTTGATAGTTACAGAGGGGCTCAGGCCTTTTGTTCCGAAGGTCACAATGAGTTGAGCTCAACTCGATGACAATCAAGAACAACAACTCAGAAATATTTGAAATGTATACATTTCAATGTCTAGAACAATTCCATCGTTACCTGTCCAAAAAGTAGACTGGACAAAGGAAAAAACCTCGACGTTTTCAGAGAGAGGAGATAACTGTGTGTGCGCAAAACATATACATAGACCAAGAAGCGGACATTTGAACAGAACAGTGAGACACTGTGGTTGGAGACTACACAAGTTGTGATAGGATGTCAACTATATCATCCTTGAGGAAAGTAAAAGGACATTAGAAGGACAGGAAAGAAAGAAGACCAAAATGGAGTAAGAAGAGACTCTAAATTTGCAGTAGAACATTATTGTTGTTAGGTGTCAAAGCCAACAACTCATAACGATCCTGTGAAAAACAGATCTGAATCTTGCTGTATCCTGAACCATCTTTATGATCTATGATATTCTCCACCCCTCATTATAGCCATCGAGTCAGTACAACTTAAAGGAGTTCTTCCTTACTTTCACTGACCCTCCACCCTTGTCACCAGCATGTTGTCTTTTGCCAAGAATTGGCCACTGTACATTATGATAGAGAAAACATTGAAATTGTCAGCAATTTTATTTTACTTGGATCCACAGCCAATATCCATTCTTATAGAAGTCAAGAAATGAAAATAAGTGTGACTTTGGGGAAATCTGCTTTCAAGGACCTCTTCAAAGTGTCAGAGAACAATGATATCAGTTTAGAGATTAAAGTACTCCTGATGCAAGCGATGGTCTTTTCAATTTCTTCCCATCCATCAGAAAGTTGGACAAGAAATATAAGGATGACAGAAGACTTGATGGCTTTGAACTGTGGTGTTAGAGTAGTGAGTAATGAATAGTCCATATTATATGTATTACCAGTAGGCTACATGGAGTATTACATGGTCAAGAATAAGCAGGTCTGTCATGGAGAAAATGCAGCCAGGATGCTCCTTGGAGGCAAGGATGATGAAACATCATCTCACAGATACTTTGTGTATTGTCAGTATGAGCAAGTCCTTGGGGGGGGGGGAAGACATAATACTGGGAAAGGTGGAAGACACCAGAAAGCAAGGAAGATTCTCAAAAAGACGGATTGGCATAGTGATTATAACCATGGACTTGGGTACATCAATGACCATAAAGATAGAGCACGGTATGCTAAGGTTCAAATCTACTGTTCATAGGATCATTAGGAGTCACTTAGGACACTTAATGACAAAACCCAGAAGAATTTGGAAATCTTACTGTTCCAACAAAAAATGTTAATATAATTTTATATTCTCATTGAAGGACAACATACTTGAGAAGAGGTTAATAGAATCCACATGCAATTAGCTAAAGAAACTTTCTTAATTCTAACTTGGTAAGTTTCGTTTTGATTTACTGATGTTTCTTGTCAAATTTTATGAATTGTCTATTGTAGATTTTCAGAAATAAATGGATAGTTTGCATTATATGATTCCATGAGTGCAAGTGGACATACACTAATCATCTTTTAAAGCCTCAACAGAGTATTATGTCTGAAAAAGAAGACTATATACAACTTAATATTTTAAATCTCTAAATATTACTATCAATAAAAGATTTTATCAGGACTAAATATATATTTTCAATATATTGAAGCTTGTACAAATGTGAATGTTTTCCATAAGAAAAAGAGTTACACTGATACACACTGAAGCAGAAATATAAATATTCATTTATAAAGAAAAAGAATAGAAAAAACAGGTTACGAATATACTGATGTGGGTAGCAAACCATGGAAAATAGATAAACATGCAATTTAATTAAATAAACTCAAAACTCATTTCAGGGGTTTATCTAAAAGGCAGGCTCTTAAAAGTTATGCCAGCTCCGGAATGATAGTACGAACCATGGTATCACTTTTTTAACTATAAAAATAAACCTTCTAAACCTTTGATAAGAAAGACATCTTGTAGGCTAGTCTTTATGCAGTTGTGCTGCTAACCCAAAGGTCACATGTCCCTATCAATTAAAATCCAGCAGTATCTTCAAGGGAGAATGATGGGGAAAAATACAATCTACTTTGGGAGGCTAAAGGAAGGCCATCCATGTGTTGGCTCCATCACTAAGAAAATTTTTGTTTTAACTTGAAATCTCAAAGGAAGTGTGAGAAATTCAATTCCCACTTATTCAGACCCCATAAATATTTGCTGATATTCCAAGGCAAACTTAGATTTGGTTAAATGCAATAGATTAGGACAGGATGAAATGTGTCTTTCATTGATCATGGTTTAAATATTCTAATTTCACAACTTGGATAAAGAAATATTATGTGAGTGTATTGTGAAGGCCTTGCCAATGCTCTTGGGAGAAATCAAAGTAAAGGAAGAGGATAAAAAAAATATTCAAGTTTATTATCACAAGAAAGGAGATAGTCCATCTTTCTTATAGAAAGCAGCTGGTGGAGTTGAACTGCCTGCCTTTGAGTTGGTAGTGCAACTCCTTACCAGTAGGCTACAAGAGCTCCCTAAAACAAAGTTTCCTATTTCTCTATTAACAAAAACCTTGTGTTTTTTTTACTAATGGATATCCATTAAAAAATGTCTATAGATTTGTTTTAGAATTTCATCTATATTGTGCCAGTCAATAATGCCTTTTTTATGGATCCTTCTATTTTAGGATGAGGCTGAATGTAACAATTATTTTAACATCAATTCCTGATACAGGAATTTTCTTACTGCAAATATGAAGAAAAAAGGACACTCATGACTTAGAGGGAAACTTCTCTTGCCTTCTCTGCTTCTTACATCGTTCTATTTGAATAATAATACAAGTGTGTCTGATTAGTTAGCTGTTTTTTGCCCCTACACAAAAGATAACTGGAGTGAAGTGGCAAGCTCTGGTGTCCTAGTGACAACAAGTTGCACTGCAATCCCAGAGGTTCATGGTTCAAATCCACCAGATTCTCTGCTGAAGAAGGAAGAACAATCTCCTCCTGTACCAGTCAGATCTGGTTTGACAGTGTACACACACACACACACACACACACAATTTAAAAAAAGAAGCCTAAAAAATTTAAAAAAAATGTAGATAACTGGACTGAATGGGCCAACACAACCTAACGATGCTGACTGAATTCATTCTAGCTGGAGTTACACGTCGTCCTGAACTGCAGCTCCCTCTTTTCGGGGTTTTCTTCATCATCTACATGATCACAGTGACAGGCAACTTAGTCTTGATCATCTTGACCAAAGTGGACGCCCGCCTAAACACTCCTATGTATTTTTTCATCAGACACTTGGCCTTCATTGATCTTGGTAATTCTACTGTTATTTGTCCAAAGATGCTGGTAAATTTTATTGTGGATCAAAATACCATTTCTTTTTATGAATGTGCCACACAGCTGGCTTTCTTTCTTTTCTTCATCATCAGTGAATTTTTTATTCTGTCAGCCATGGCCTATGATCGCTACGTAGCCATCTGTAACCCTCTGCTCTACAATGTTGTCATCTCTCCCAGACTTTGTCATGTGCTTGTGGGCGTTCCCTACCTCTACAGTACCTTTCAGTCTCTCATGTTCACCACCAAGATTTTTACATTAACCTTCTGTGGCTCTCATATCATTAGTCATTTCTACTGTGATGATGTTCCCTTGATACCTATGCTCTGCTCAAATGCACAAGAAATACAGTTGTTGATCATAATGTTCTCAGCATTTAATTTGATTTCCACAATGCTGGTAATCCTTGTGTCTTATGTGCTGATTCTGATTACCATCTTTCGAATGAATTCTGCTGAAGGCAGGAAAAAAGCTTTCTCCACATGTGGTTCTCATCTGACAGTGGTGGTCGTGTTCTATGGGTGCCTACTTTTTATGTATCTACAGCCCAAATCTGCTCATTCATTTGAAACGGACAAGATGGCCTCTGTGTTCTACACTTTAATCATCCCCATGCTTAACCCCTTGATCTATAGCTTAAGGAACAAGGAGGTGAAAAATGCCTTTCACAGATTTATTAATAATGTATGTAGTCTTTGAGCTTAATATTTAATACATAATATGTTTTTAAGGCATATGTCTCTGGATCTTTCAAAAACGCAAAAATGTTTTCTTTTTCTTCACAGATAAGACTAGTTTAAAAACAAATTCATCTAAATTCATTATCACAGTGTATATCTCAAATTAAATATCATCTTCAACCCATTTTGCTGTTTCCTGTCATTACTTTATGTGATTCCACAAAAACCTCCATTCTTGCTTTATGGAACCATGTATTGAACACTTAATTGACAACCTATTTCTTTCACTCACTTTGGGCTTTGTGGTTTTCTATTTTTATATTACTATCATCTTAATATTGTTTTGGTATCATTTTTGAGACAAAAATAAGAATACAACCAAAATGAGAGATGCAACATTATCTGTTTTCCTATTAAGGATGTAAATAATGCCTGAGTCTTGTTTCTCTGTTGCAGTAATAATAATTTATTTGCTGTACAAGACAGGTGTGAAGTGTCCTAAATTTTGATCTGTTTGTATTTAATATGGCATCTTCCTTCTGACATAATTAATTCTGCATGCTAATTCTCAAAACTTACTCTACAGAATAACTCTTGTTTTTGGTGTAAATACACCCAGAGTTACTCCGGAATATCTTTGAGAGATCAGATACCAAAAACTCTACAAAGTACAATTGTACACTTTAACAAAGGTAATGTTCATCATGGGTTAACATCAACTCAATGGCAACTGGTATTAGGTGATATTTTTATTATATGCTGTTGAGTCCTGAATAACTCATACTGATCACATGAATGATGGAGCTGGGCCCTGGCCTGGCCATCCTCATCCTCTCTGACATGCTTGAGTCCAGTGCTTCAGTCACTGTGTCAATTGACCTTGCTGACAGTCCTCCTTTCTATTGCTGACCCTCCACCTTTTCAAGAATGATGTCTCTTTTCAAGGAGCACCCACCTTTAAAAACATATGAGACGAAGCTTCCCATCTTTAGCTCTAATGTTGTCAAAATGGCAATACTACCAAAGGCAATATACACGTTCAATGCAATCCCAGTACAAATACCAATCCTATTCTTCAATGAGATGGAAAAGGCAATCTCCAGCTTCATTTGGAATAGAAAGAAGCCCCAAATAAGCAAAGCACTCCTTAAAAATAGAAAAAAGATAGGAGGCATCGCACTCCCTGATTTCAGATCCTACTACACTGCTGTAGTAGTTAAGACAGCATGGTACTGGTACAATGACAGACACATAGATCAGTGGAATAGAACTGAGAACCCGTAAACAAGCACATCTATTTATGGTCAA